GAAGTAAGCCAATCGATTAGAGGTTATTTGATACCTAGTCGTTTGAGCTTATTGATAAGACACAAGTGGTTAACTTTATCAAAAGCTTTTGAGAAATCAAGGTATATGATATCAACCTTTCCCTTGCGATCGAGGATGCTTGTCCATCTGTCCACCGCAGTCAGAAGGTTGGTTATACAAGAGTAACCCTTCCTGAAACCATGCTGTTGGGGTGAGAAGAAGTTTAAGGACAGTAGATAATTGTTTAAACCATCGCACATCAGGGACTCCATGAGTTTTGAAGGTAATGACAGAAGAGCCACCGGCCGATAACTTGAAGGTTCATTGCGTCGACCCCCTTTGAAAATTGGTGTGATGTGAGCCAACTTCCAATTTTCCGGTAGTTTGCCTTGGCTTAGCGAGTGTGAAAACATCACGCTAAGCGGCGTTGCCAGGATTGAGGCTGCCTCCCTCAGTATGGCAGAATGAACCATATCCGGGCCAGGAGAAGTATCTAGTCTTAAGTGCTGCAGTTTCCGGAACGCCAAGTCAGCGCTTAGGTCGACTTCGGAAAGCCCTGTGGAATTACAGGTGAAACTGTCGTCAATAGAGTTGATGTCAGCCGGCTGAAATGTTTGAGACTAATGTGCCGCCAGAAGGTTAGCGGCGTCACCATCGTTGTTGGTTGGGCCGTTAAGACCTAGCAGTTGAGAAACTCTTGTTTTGGCTTGACGAAGAGAGGCTGCATAACGGAATAGGCTTCTAGGGTTCGAGGCAAATTTGTCCATAAGCTTTGTCTGATAATGAATCCTGTCTTCTCTTATACCTTTCGTGCATATGTTCCTGATATGTTTGAATTGCCTATACGCTCCGTCGTTGTCAGTTCGTTTGTATTCCGCCCAACAGTGCCTTTTACGGCTTAGCAGGCGAAGGGTACGGTTCTTGATTATTGTAGGTGGCTTACAGCTTTTGGGAACCGTTTAAGGAACTGAATGGTTTGTAGCACATAAGAGCGTGTGCAGTAAGAAGTTCCAGTGACCGTCCACATCGAGTTGGGGGTGAACATCCCAAACCACCTGTTGTAGATAGTCGTGTAGAGCTGGCACATTCAGCCGTTTAAAATTCCAACGCAAATTATTGTTGGGATACCTTAGCTTAGTTTTGGTGACAAAACTGAAGGCTATGACGGCATGATCGCTCTTTCCCAGAGGAGCCAGGATTGAGAGGTTGTCAACTAGGAATTCTTCGTTTGTGAATACACAGTCTAACCGCGATGGTGTCTGACTGTTTCTCCAACGAGTTGCCGACCTCACATTTTCATATAAGCCCAAGTCATCGATGAGATTGCAGAACCGAGCTTCAATTGAGTTGTCGCCTCCAGTGTACGTGTGTTCCGCGAAATCGACTCTAGGGAGATTAAAGTCCCCTAGAATCAGGATGTGTGTGAAACCGAGACGGGTAGAGGGGGATAGTCCATCCAGCATACGACTATCGTACTCGATGTCAGCAGTTGGCTTCCTGTAAATGACACCGACTAGACACCTCGAAGTGCTAGACAATCTTACAGAGCACCATATGGATTCCTCAAGATTGCTAAACTCGAGGTTATGAACTTGGTGCACCTCCAAGCAAGAGCTTATGTATATGGCTATTCCGCCCCCAATTCCTGTTATTCTGTCGTTGCGGAACAAAGTCATCCCAGGTAATGCTAACTCTTGGTCCGAGAACTGAGAACATATCCAGGTTTCAGATATTCCTATCAGGTTGGCTTTATTAGCGTCGTTAAGTTCACGTAATTCATCCATTTTGTTTGTTAGACTCGCGGCGTTCATATATAAGCAGTTTATGCTTTCAATTTGGAACGCGTGAGCTTCGTCCTATTTTTCTGTATGAGCCTTATGTGAATGGACAGGTAGCCCACCTATGTGAGGTTTACCGAGGTGGTAGGCCCTGTCCTCAACACGTTTTCTTTATCATTTAGACAGTCCAAAAGCAGAATGGTCAGCTCCAACTTGCCTTTGTGCTTGGTTCTGGCTTCATATGGCCTATCCCGGTGCATTTGGATTCTAGGTGGCGATCGACGTCTGTTGGCACGAAATGCTTCCAGAACTGCAGCCGCCATGTGGGAAGATGGGAAGGTTATCTTCATTAGACGGGGTCTAAGATCACCGTCCTTCTTGAATAGTCTCGACACATGCTGAGTCAGTATGTCTTTGAGCCTCAAGGGCTGTTTGTTGAATTTCCATTCCCTCATGTCAGAATTTGATTGAGTAGGGTCTGCATTTTCCGGTATACCTTGCACAATTATGTTTCTTCCGCGGAAAAACTCGCGAGATTCTTTAGGGATGTTTCATATGATATTGCGCTCAGAGAACGGTATGTCGGGCAATATTCTTACGTTACCATCTGATTTCAGCAAGTGACTTGCTAGTAAGACGTCCTCTACATCGGTAGCATTCTTAAGTGTTACTCGGAGAAGCCTTGGGTGATTTAGATGCTTAGAGTCCTTTCCTCTAGAGAGCCGAGTGACCATCAAAGGCTCTATTCTAGGAAGTTAGAGCTTCTTGTTCAATTCACTCCAGAGCATCCTGTCGGTTTTGTCCTGCATACTGTGAGGAAGGTCAGGATTATCAACGAGGTTCATGATAATGAGAGAATCGTCACGAACTGTTGTTAATTTACCAGGTTTCACGGTGGGTTCATGTTTAATAACTTGCTGTTTTGAGGTCAGTGTGTGTTTTTGAGGCTTGGCCTCTTTTTTGACCAGACGAACAGTCTTGGGAGTAGACTGTGCGACCAAATCACCAGTTAATTTCCGTACAGCAACACTTGGGTTGCTTGGCTTAGGCGGTGATGTCTGGTTCTTTTGGGCTCTCTTAACGTCGGTCAAATCACCTACAGGGTTTTTGGGAACCACTGTTGTGTTCAGGGACCCTGAGCTGGGAGACCCGAGTTTGCTTAGGGAGTCTAATACCTTCGACGTAATGATGGTGCTGAGTCTCGACACGTCATCATTAGTGTTGATGGATGCTCCATCGATGGTATACCTATCGACATCCCTGTTTTTGTATCCGTCTCACGCTCTTGTTTGTCTACCGGTTGTTTTACTATCGTTGTCCAAGTTAACTGACAACTTGTTCCGAAGACCTGTCAGTAGGACAATGATGTTACTCAGCAAGACTACAGCGTCCGTGCTGCACGTGACACATACCCATTTTTGGTCTGACTTACTGAGTCTGTTGTAAGCAGTCGATGTCAGATCTGTGCATGCTTCGTGGGACCAACCTTTGCAGTTGTCGCACTGCATGCCAGTTGCAACAGCAAAACGGCATCCCGGACGTTTGCATGAGTTTTTCATGACTATGTTGAAGCAAACTATGTTATAGATGCTTGCAAAGGCCTAAGACCTTTAAAAAACACTAAAAAGCACACTGAGAACGGACAAAAATGGATAAAACGAGTGGTATAAACTGAAACTAGTCTATATGTGAAAAACAAAAAATAACGAATAGTAAGCTGAGGCAAAACCACAGGTAACTATTAAATATAGTGAAACTCAAAAAAAAGTAATCTACCGAACGTATAGCTCAGGATAGATTCTTTAGAACTGAAATGGTACTTTTGTTGCGTAAGAACACAGCAAAAGTTTGATAAATGCAAATCACGTTAATACAAAACTTCCCGTTCGAAAAGCGCGCGTGGAAGGTGATCTATATTGATTGACTGCAGGGCCTACTCCGGTAAGACGGGAATGGCGTGAGTAACAGCTACCTCGCGATTAGCACCTTTAGTGGATTACACTGACAGCACATCCAGGTACTATAACTGCTTTGAGAACCGTACAGCACATTACGTTATTACTGAAGTATTTTCGTTAGAGCAGGTACAAACAAAAGAGCGACCACCACCGCATGGGCTAGTGCATGACGTGAAATTAACTGATGAGCGACGGTTTTTATGAACTTGATGATGACCGGTAAACCTTTTTGACGTTCGGTAATCTTGTTGACAGATGATTTTGCTAGGGCACAGTGACATTTCACTGGTCCTACAACCTCAACGCGTGATTAAAGCTTTCAAAAGAACAATGGAGGGCGATAACTTCAATCCACCGGTGTTTGTGGGGGCAGAACATTTTGTGTGTATCAGGCTCTTTATGATTTAGAATAAGTCAATCAATCTGTGGTATAGATTGTTTTCCTACGCTCACCACTCAGACTCACGTTCACAATATTATGCTGGGTTAGCTATTCTACTAAGACAACACATAACATGCTAACACGGACTTTTACACTAGGATTGTGTGGCTGGCATTGGATAAACAAAAAAGGAAAAAAAGTTAGACAACAAAAGATGTATTCATTAGTATTCTTAACACTTCCCCCTCTATATAAACACCCTTCTAATAAACCGCTTTCCTTGTACCAGCCTTGATTTCCTTTCCTTCATGTGAGCTTACTACAACTCGTTAAACGACACAACTCATTGTTCTTTATTACTATATTCTCTAATATGGAGCCTCTGACTTCATTTCACTCTAACAAGAGATAATATGAATTTATTCTAATATATTATACCTCTGTCTGTTCTACTTCACAATGTTAAGCAACGTTTGTCGTTCATATCCTAGTGCCTTGCTGCTCTTCTGTTTCTCTTTTTCTTCAGAAATTCGCTCTGAGGGCACAGCCATGAAAATTCCGACGTTTGGAACAAACTTAACGTACGCGTCTCCTCAAGGTCACAGTTTACAGCAAGCGCTCTACGGGTATACCTTATATCAACTATGAACTCAATAAGTTGCGAAGCCTTTTGTGAACCAACAAATGTTGTAATTTATAGATCATGCCTGTAAAAATGGCGTGTACCTGCGCATGCAGAAATATATATTATATTATCATAACGACCATATGAAGATCGACTAACCAACTACTCCTTGACGTGATGACGGAAGGCTTTAGAAATAATAAGGTACGGTGAAACTGACAGAATCCCACGAAATTTGTTACCTGTTATCTTACGAAGATTTTCTATGGAGATAACACTTTAATGTGTATTGAAGATGTTACGAGTTATTTTAGCGTCACCTGCTTTTAATGCTTAGTGGGCTATTTGATTCTAGAAGGCGTAACGGGGTTAAAATCATCATGTATGGAGTTGTTAATAGATTCCCTTTTTTTCTTTCTATTGCGGCGCAATCGTGAATAAATGCTTTAGAAAGAGAAGATCTTGCTCTGCATGCACTGAACTTACAGGATGACTCATAAGACTTTTGTAAACTAGCTCTTCTGTACATAACCCGCAAATTTTAATTTCCAGATAAACGACTGGTGGTTTCCATCCCGTGTTCTCTCTCTGGTGTAAAGTACTCGGTTAACATTGTGTGTGTTGTGGTTTTAGGTCTTCATGCCTTTCAGTGACCGGTGATTACACGTGTTACATAGGTGTAACAGGGATTCACCATATAAGATGATGCTAATGGATTCTGTTTTCTTCCTATTGCAGGGCGACCAAGGATAAACTCTTTGAAAGAAGAAAAGCAAGCCTTGCATGCACTGAACCTACAAGATGACTCAAGACTATTTTGTAAGCTAGCCATTCTTTCTGTACATGACCCGCGAATTTGCTGCAAGGAGTTAAGGTAATCGGTCGGATTCTTACTTGCTTTCTGTTGACGCGATAAGAACTGAATAGTCACCTGCTGGGTGTCCACGGGTAGGGAATAACAGTCATCTAGGATTTTCCGATTTTGAGTAAGTGTGTTGCTTGCCACAAAACCGTTGACGGTAGCTCTTTTTACTGCTTCATCACTCAGGTAGGATACGAGGTTATCAAAATGTTCGGACGTTGGGACGTTTTGCAGATATGCTGTAACTTTAAATTTCCAAACAAAATACTCTGATGAAGCTTCAAGTAGTGGCGGTTGACGAGGAGTTGAACCGGGTGCTGCCTCGACTGGAATCACCGGGGTTCGTCTAGGTTTTCGTCGCGTTTTCCAGTAAAACACCTCGGTCACCATTTGTATCAGCTGGTGGGCTTCGGGAAAAGTGTTCTCTTATTGGGCCGGGAACCACCCCGACGAAACGCGAGCGTACTTATTTCGTCCCATGACATGTAGATGAGGAAATGGCTAGCTTACAAAATAGTCTTATGAGTCATCTTGTAAGTTCAGTACACACAAGGCTTGCTCTTCTTCCAAGGCGTCTATCCTTGGTCGCCCTGCAATAGGAAGAAAACAGAATCCATTAGCATCATCTTATATGGTTATTTCGACTCCGTTAAAAAGGTTTTTCGTAACTTTAGTGGGTATTTATCCTTGGTGAACTTTTGAAAATCCGAGAGTAGCACTTATTTGATTGACCATTAAAGTGATCCTTTGTGTAAAATTACATCAGACACGCATAAAGTAACTAATTTGTGATTCAAAATTCATTCACCCTGTGTGTTTGGTAATGAAAGTGTTTATACCTTAAAACACTAAAAAACTTGGTTTTGCACAAAAAACCCAAGGATGAAACGCCTAGATTTACTAAAATGTTAATCGATGTGACTCTCACGTTCGGACTTGGTTTTGTCCGTCTGTTACACGTTGACTTTTCGATAAATGTGTACTGTTATGATGATCCTCAGTATATTACTAGGATAGGGTTAAATGTTGAGACGGTGTTCTCAAACAACTGTTGGTGCCTTGGGATTTATGTATAAAGCATTTGATTCTAGATGGGTTTGTATTTATGTAAGGTCTGTTGTGCGTTTCTATGTACATGGTCCGTAAAGTGTTTCATTTAGCACTTCAAGGGCTCTTCTAGGGATGTTTCTTATTTATGCGATCACTTGGAGTTGTGCGAAACTATGGTTACCAAATCTAAATACTCGCGTTTTGATTTACTCTCACACCTATACATGGTTTAATTAAAGTAGTGCTTAAAGTGGGTTTATCACGTTTTGTATCGTCAGTCAGTCAGTCAGTCAGTCAGTCAGTCAGTCAGTAACAACGTAGAACTTCGTACGTACGTACATCAGTTCGAGTTGCCACACCACATTAGCACAGAGATGCCGTGGTCGATTCAAATCCCGTAGTGGTAAAGGTAATAAGAGTATAAGCAGTAATCGGAAAGATTAGTGTTTGGAGATGTCACTTAAAGAGTAATACAGTGAAATAAACTTGGGAAGAGAAAAAAAAGAGACAAGGGGGAATCAAGAGATCAAAATTTGGGAGAACACAAAGAGTGGATGCACCTGCGCCATTGCAAACGATTTTGAGCCATGTCATTCAAGGTCTCTAACCATCGGTTGCTATCATGTCGCGGTCCCCAACCAGGTAGTCTACACCTACCGATATGACTCAGTCCACTTGTCAGTGACTTCATGGACTTGTGCCATGTTTTGGTCTGGCCGCCCCTAGCTTTCTTCCAACCTACTCCTATACCACTGAACATCGCACGTCGAGGCAGTCGGTCATTGGGCATACGTAATACGTGTCCCAACCATCTCAACTGATGAAGTTTCACTACTTCATCAATCGATTTGCCATCCTTACCTAGTACCCGTTTCCTAACAACTGTGTTACTTACTCGATGGTCCCATGATATACGAGCAATGTTTCGAAGACACCTATGATCGAATACTAGTAACCTACGAATATCCTCTACTCTTACCGGTCATGTTTCACTGCCATAAAGTAGGACGGGACGAACTGCTGCGCAGTAAACACGTCCTTTGGTTGATAGACGGATATCTCGCCTACGCCATAAATGACGCAAGTTGGTAAGAGCTAGTCGAGCCTTTTGTATCCGTGCTGAGATTTCGTCACACACCAGACCACAAGGGCTGATGAGACTTTCAAGATTAGTGAAGCGGTCGACACGCTCAATTACTTCACTCCCTATTACTAGTTCGGGTGTCGATGTAACCCAATCCTGAAGCAACCTTTTGCATTTCGAGGGGGAGAATCGCATCCCCGAACATGCTTGCATTGTTGCTTAGAGTGGTCAGAAGACTGCATTTTGTCAGCGTCTTCACCAAATAAAACTGTCATCAGCATATTCCAAGTCAACAAGTGAACCTCCCGGTAGAAGTTCAACCCCTGGAAATTTAGATGAGGAGAGTGTCATCTCTAAAAGTACGTCGACCACAAAGTTGAACAAGAATGGGGAGAGTGGACAGCCCTGATGAACGCCGCTTGAGGTAATCGGTTCTGATGACAGTTCACCATAAGCTCTCACTCTACCAGTTGTGTTCGAGTAGAGAGCCTGTATAAGGTTAATGTACTTCTTTGGTACTCCTTTCAGTGACAAACACTGCCATAGAACCTTACGATCAACAGAGTCGAATGCCGCCTTAAGGTCGAGAAATACTACCATTGTGGGGCGTCTAAACGTGTGTCTGTGTTCTAGAACCTGACGTATTGTGAATATCTGATCTATACAACCACGTCCAGGTCGAAAACCGGCCTGGTTTTCCCTAATCTGCTCTTCACGAGCTTTGGTTAGGCGTCGAAGTATTATTGAGGCTAATATTTTAGACACTATATTAGTCAAACTGATTCCTCTGTGATTGTCACAAGAGGACCTTTGTCCTTTCTTATAAACTGGTACAATCACTGATTGAGACCAGTCAGATGGGATTACGTCCAGTTCCCAAATTCTACCTAAGACCTCAGTTAATTTCATTGCTAATACTGGACCACCATCCTTAAAAATCTCAGGAGTAAACCTGTCAGGGCCTGCTGCTCTCCCTCGTTTCAGATTTCCTATGGATTTTTCAACTTCGTAGAGAGACGGAGGACCTACATTAACTTGCCATTCAGGTTGACTAGAGATCGTGGGAAACCGAAGTGTGGCTGAAGGCCAGTTGGACTGATCACTGAAGTGTTCTGCCCATCGATCTAATCTCCTGGATTGAGAATGAATAATATGTCCATCTTTCTCTGAGATTGTTTCGCTAACGGTCGGGTTCCTAATTCTGGTTTCCTTAACGAGTCTGAACAATTGTCTGCTATTACCTATTGCCGCTGCCTTTTCCATCTCTCTTGCTTTTGCTACCCACCACTGTTCGCGATCATTGCGTAGACTTCTTGTCAGTTTGCGCTTAAGTTGACTACGCTCTTCACTATGTTCAGAGCCAGGTGGAATGAGTTTCCGAGCATCGACAGAAGACAAAATCCCCACAAACTAAAGTTAATGAATCGAACTTCTCAATGTACACCGAAATGCATTATCCTAGATGTCATTCTTCTCAGTAAATTGCTTCTCACACATTTTCTTTCATAAACAGACTACACGGATAATTACTGTTTCCGGGTCAACTTACATTTTTTGGAGTTTTTGGGATATCAACTTTGTTGTTAGCCTACACGGAGTTCATTTCCAAACATGATTGTTCACAAAACCAGTTCTCCTGGTAATAAATTGTTCGCTCGCGGGATCAAAGGTCTTGGGTTTGATCCTTTGTGGTGTATTCGTAGACCCACCAATGCCGCGGACTTCATATTACGACAACTGTCCAGTGCCTCCTAGTTTCCAATAATGGTCTAACTAAGATCAATTTGTGACAAAAATACATGATTAAAGGAAGTGCAACGAAAGGCTTGAAATATACTCTAAATTAAGGGTGCGACTGTATTTCATCGTGGCTGGTAAACTAACTACTACTACACGTTCCCTACCAATCATATTGATCTTAAAATCCACATACTTGTATCCAGTCTTCAAACACAATCACTGATTGCGCGGTGTATTATGTTATCTTCTGTAATTGAAATTGTCTGAGATTATTTCGTCTCAACAGGTTGAAGTATCGAGCTATTAAATCTATTGGTGAGCATTAACTATATTGAGTCACTATAAGGTGATAATTAACCATCTACTTATTATATAATGTACTAGGTATTTGTTATTTGGTAGTTTAATCAAACGCTAGTTTTGATATCCTAGCAGTATCGGTAGACTAGTACTATTTTCAACTTTCACAATGCATAACCAGCCTAGCAATGAACTTTGCTGAGTACTTTGATACTAGCGATAGGGAAGAAAAGTCATCACTTTAAAAACATTATTATTAAATTATCGAGTAGCAGTGGCATCACAAGTTATTTGAGTTGGCGAGAACTGTTTTCTTTTAGCCAAATTTGGTAGTATCGTATAATGAGCCGAATTGACTCTTGGATTATATTTCATTCAGTTCAACTGTTACGTAATATCACTTGTCCAGGTTAAAAGTAACATAAGGAAGTACGTAGTTTAGCTTTTCTGGTTGTATTGCATTTCTAGACCATATTAGTCTTCAACTACTTATTCTCCATTTCACCTATTAATGCTCCAGTCTCGCGAATGTATTTATATTTTGACAGATTGTTCAAATCAAGAAGCCCTGTGAGGCTGTAAAAATAATATTGTAACTGCATACTTTTTAAAATATGGTTGAAGTTTACAAGCTGAGATGCACTCTATCGGGTCATAAGAGCGACGTCCGTGCAGTCACTTGTCTTTCAGATACCAGGATTGTTTCTGCTTCAAGGGATTTAACAGCAAGGACATGGCATATTTCCAAGTTAGTCATCTTTCTATTTAAACTAATACCATTACATTTACTAACCGTAGTTATGATAAGTCATGTATACAAGCTATATCGTAACTATCATTATGTCTATCAACTGTAAGGTACACGAAAATCCCTTATTGGACAGAATTCCTGTCACTAGTAGGACAGGTAGTAAAGTTTACAGAACGAGTGATGAGAAATTCAATAAGTTAAGGTCTTCAAATGCCCAACAAAACTTAGTCGTGCAACCAATCTTTTCTCTGCTAAACTAGCTCCTTAACAGTGCTGAAGGTCATCTAGATCAGCATATATTCCTCCGGTTTTTGGCCTACAAAATTCATCTTATTTATCACATTTTCGGTATCATACATATAATTATCCCGATACATGAATTTATCAATAATGTTTGAAGGTTCACCATTAAGGGTTATTGCAGGTACAGTTTCATACGAACGTTGGTCAGTTTTAAGTTTTTTTTCCAACCTAGCAACTTGGACCGATGCATATATGTGCCCAGTTTTACGTTGTAGCTGAGTAGCTGTCTTTTTCCAACTTGATAGTCTCAGATAGTATTGGTAACCACTTTTATTTATCAACTTACTATCTGGATATTACTGAGCACCTCAATAGTAGTAGTTGTTAATTTCGCAAATTATGTTGTTATAATTCATCAAGGTTTTTTAAGTATGTTGGAAATCTAACTGAAAATAAATTTTTTATTTGATAGAGAAGGTTGCGATGGCTGTGAAGATATGGTTCTTCTCGGGCATACAAATTATGTATCAGCTGTGTGTTGTCAAGAATTAGATAACGAATGTCGTATTCTAACAGGATCACATGATAAATTAATTCGAGGGTATAATTCTATGTCTCCAGAAGCTCTTTTCACATTAGAAGGGCATAAAGATACAGGTATGTTCTTAGTGGATATTACATTACTCATTGGTTTCTCCAACCAGTGTGTACTTTAGCGGTTGGAAATCACAAAACCATAATTAGTGGTTCTTGGGATAAATCAATCAAAATATGGAAGGAAGAAAGGTGTGTTTCTACTCTCACGGGTGAGTTTTAAATGAAAATATTTTGTAAAATTTGGAATATTAAAGTGAAAAAATGTGATAACGTTATTAACTGGTTATCATCGGTAATTTCTGAATACTGTTTTCTAAAGTGGACTAAATTCATACAATTCAGCATCATATCCATGTTTTTTATTGAAAACAGTTTAAGAATTATCTGCAAGTTTATATAATTATTTCCGGTATTTAGAATGTCAAGTATATACAATAAATAATTTTCTTTTTCAATTACAAAAAGTTGTTAGGAACTTTTTCATTTCAGGTTATCCAGAAACAAACGCTATACTACACTAAAATAGGATTGTGGAATACGGTAGAGAAAGAAGAAACAAAAGATGAGAGATCTACTTCGAACACATGGGTCTCATTAAGTAAAAAAGTTGAACTCTTTATAAATAGTATATTTTTCACTTTCACAGAAATAAGAGTATAATTAGTTAATCATCTAATAAATTTGCCAAATAATAGAGATATTTGAATAAGGTCAAAAGCAGAAATATATTCTCCGAAATAGCATTCAACACTTACGTTTTGTAGTGTAGCAATTTCATTGCAGTAGTCTGAACAGTTAGCTTGTTTAAACTTACTCTTTTTAGTGCCAGCTGACTGGTAATTTATTATCAAATGTTACTTAAAGTCTATTACTTGATCTTGTTGGTTTTACTAATCTGCATGTGTTTATAAGGGAACCGTGAAGATTATTTTTAGATTGCTGTCTACATGATATGATAGAAGTGATCTCTCAGTTGATATTGTTTGCGACAGTTATCATTATCAGTATGAATATAGAATAAAAATACATTATTACAACTAATTTCGACTATAAATGGCTGTTCCAGCTATTTGATGATCAGTTCGTTGTAATTTTTACCAATATACTCACTGGTAATTTATTAATGACTTCCTATTTTATGTAATAAAATTGGCAGTTAATTCTCTTATGTATAGGACATGAAGCAGCAGTATGGTGTGTACTCGTTATGCCGGCCGTAAATATAACCGGTCATATTGATGATTTAATTGTTATCTCTGGTTCAGCTGATCAAACTATACGTATATGGTGCCTACGTGGTCTTAATCAAGATATAAGTTCGCCTGACATAATTTTATTAAGTTCTTTAAATGAACATAAAGACTGTGTACGTGCCTTGGCACGTATTGATGATTCACGATTTTTATCAGCAAGCAATGATGCCAGTATAAGAGCTTGGGATGCTACTACTGGTAAATGTATTGGAGAGTTTTATGGGCACACAAATTTTGTTTATGGATTGGCTTGTTTACCTAACTTCTCAAAATTTGTTTCCTGTGGTGAGGATAGAAGTATTCGTGTCTGGCTTTTACCTTCGGCAGGTGAATGGGCTCCTGAAAAGCATTTTAGTTGCTTTCAAACTATTTTGTTGCCATGTCAGTCTGCGTGGTGTGTAGCTATGGTACCGAATGGTGATATTATTGTCGGAAGCAGGTAATTATTAAGTGTAAAAAATTGTATAATCGAGTTTAAAATCTACTGGGATTCTTACATCTTCCTGAACTAATCTAACGTGATATTTTTCAGTCTACTCTGATCAATTCCCTTCATATAAATTATAAAACGTAGACTTTAAACGTTTTACAATTGATTTAAACCCAAACCCCCTCTTTGATGACAAAGAAAACCGTTTAAAAAAGACATATTGCACGAATCCCATCTAATTATAGCCAACTACGAAACGTCCAAGTCAACAGTGATTATGTACATGTAAAACATGTTCCACTCATCTTCGCTGCTGTTAACTTGATGTTGGTTCCATTTAGTCGTAAAGCGAATACTTTATCTATGGTTTTTAATTGGGGATGAATAATTACCTGTAACCCTTTGAAGGTACATTTGTTGGAGGGTGAATTGTACAGAGATAATTCATGTTCAACTAGGCTAGATTAAAATTCACAGGCCTTGCTCTTAAAAGATACTTAAAATTTTTTACAGATTTTATGGAGTTATAAATCACTTTATATATCTATTTTGTGCTGGAATTGCACATATATAGTGATGACGTGTCGACGTGTGTGTGTGTGAACTGTAGCAATATGACCACCGAATATTTTATGTAAAGTCCTATATCGTTCATAATCGACTGACTGATTCAAAGTCAAAATTCTTTGCTAATTTTCAATTTAGAATGAATGCATTGGTTGTAATGCTTAAACCATTTGGTTTTTAGTTTGTCGGTCTGAGGCAAAAACTCCATTTTACTTACTTCTGTTCGGGCAATTGAGTAGTGCTTGTTGCTCTCACCCAACTAAAATATAATTCAAAGTTGACTGCAGAAATTTGTACTCGGTTCATGAGTAAATCAATCAGTTGACTCGTCAACTAGTTTAAGTTTTAGTTCATGATATCTTCTTAAAAGACAACAACGATAAAAATATGCAGTCATTGCATTTAACCAGTGGATTCATTTTCTTTTCATCAAATTACTAATTGGAATCAATGTTAAATAATGGGTGATGCTGTTAACAATCTTTCAGATTATTGTAAATGTTTTCAATTTTGATTGTTATCAGGAATGATTTAATACAAACAGAAGATAAAGCCTATCAGATAAATTCTATCTGATTGGCTTCGTTTATCTGGATAGACTATTTAACTTTATTGAATTGATCAAGTATACTAAAGACAATTTATATTCTCTATTTCTTTCATAGTGATTCAATGATTCGGATATTTTCATGTGATTCAACACGACAAGTATCTTCAGATGTCTTGAAACTTTATGAGACAGAATTAGCCAATTTTAAGATTACAGTTCCTAGTTCTTCTGGAGCTGGAGATTTAGTTTTAAACAATTTACCGGGAGTTGAGGCTTTAACGAGACCAGGTATTTCATGGTAATTCATTTGTACTTACTAATATCCCCTTGTGTGTTCCTATCGTGTCATTACACAACTAGGGAATTGTTGATTTATTCATTATCGAACCAAATGCTCATGTAAATTAATAGCATCCTGTTAACCAACTGTGTTTTATACTCGTCTTTCAGTCTCACTTTTTTGTATCAGTGGCAGTGATACTAACTAACTGTCGAAATTTAAGTAGAAAGAGTTTGAAACTGAGATCTGTCAGTTGGTTCATATCAAGTGTTTTATTCACGAAGCAATACTGCCTCATATAACTTGAAATGGAAATAAAATATTGTTTATTGTCGTTACTCACACTACAAACGTTTATTTTAATCAGGTACACCATAATAAGGTGTATTTTATGATGGAGAAGATTTATGGATCAGGTGGATGATTTTGGTGGAGTTTATAGCCAAGTCTTAAATTATCACTCAAGTTCTGTGGATCAATAAGACTAATACTGTTGCTTATGTATATTTATGAAACCAGTTGTTGTTAGATTTATTTTAATGGACTGTAGAATTTCAAATGATTTCTGGGATTTTTTGTTAAGGGTAATAATTTTCTAACACAAATTTGATAAATATGAAATTAAATTACGTTATTAAGGCTATAATTTTTTTTTGACTATTCCATAGTAAAAATCGGTTTTCTCAAGCTATAATTACTCACTTAGCAGTAGAATCCAAGATTTGTGCTTCATCCGAGTTGGTATCTATCTGATGATTGTAAGTTCACGGTAGTGTTTATCTTCACACAGAGACTCGAACCCAGTATCTATCTCCTTAAAGTCCAGAGTGTTGCCAGTCAGGTTACGGAGTCATGATTTACATCCACTTCTTCGACGGATATGACTAACGAAAGTAAAAATACACGTTCTGGATTCTGTTACTAACTTCTATCTAAAATATAATTAGATAATCATAATGTATCTGTTCTAGGATCTCATATGCCACTTGGGATTGATTCAATTCAGCCTTGAATATGAACACTAAGAAAATCCACATCCTTAAAAAGAGTAGTAGGTATGATCACTGTTCTGTGAATACTTATTTTCCATTATTATCGATTTTGATCATATAGGGAAATCGGAAGGACAGATCATGGTCATTAACGATAATGGCCGCTCTGTTTGTTATCAATGGTCTTCACATGATACTCGGTGGATTGAAGTTGGTGATGTTGTGGGAAGTCAACCTTCTAATCGTCAAGTTCACGAAGGCAAAGTAAGCTATTATTTTCTCTCGCGCTTCATTAATTTTGTCGTTTTTGTTAACTGTTATGTGAAATTTGCATGTTGAATCTTATTACTTCAGTTACTGGTAAAGATTCAGTTATGTTATTGTTGACTCGTAGAAATAAGTCTATCTTTTCTCATGAATCCCTGTCAAACACGATGGTACGTCGTTACATTATTTGTTCAATTACTAATTTTTACTTCGTTATAGAGCAAACTTCAATCGTAATTTGTGTTAAGATCATTTAAGTACTACTTTGTTCGATAATGAACTCGTAACAAAGCAAAATAATTGATGGTTATAGCAATAATGTGATGTGTTTTTCCAAAGTTCATTTGATAAAAAACGTTTATGTGCGTTCATGCTCTTGTACTGTAAAAAGTAAGCACATCTAATAAATACATTGAATATCTAATAATCTTTTAATGATTCCAGTATTTTGTTATTTTTATTTTTGTCTATTCCATAAAATCAAACTTTTGTTAGAATAAAAGACAATTTATTAGGACGCTTTGATCAATACGATGAATTAAATCTCGGTAGCTTTATTGAAAAGATTTGAAATAGTTAATTCCTTTCATTTGCCAGAATTATTCTATTGATTAGCTTAATACATTTTGAATACATTTATTTATTTTGTTTTCATTTAGCTAATTTGACCACTATGTGTTGTATAAATTCCCAATATATTTTTAAAAATCTTGCTTGATTATTTTTAAGATTGAAGTAGACTAGATTTAATGAATTATAAGTGTTTTATGTTCCCAGTTCGTATCCCACAGGTAGTATTAGTTGGTTGAAGGTTTGAGATTCGTTTTGATAATAATTCTCCCACAAATTCAAAGCCTAAATCCTGAAATCCACTCTAACTGTTCTTAAAAACCGTATGTTTTTAGATGAAGTACCATTTACTTATTTTGATGACCTTACCATATCTTTTGATCAGTTCGATTATCTTTTCATTAGGGTCCATAGTATTACCCTATCCGCTATCTATGGTCTAATTTTCGTCAATGAACTCAATAGTTAATTAATTAACAATATTTTTCGAAGGGTTGTCACATGAGTCTTTTAGTTCTTTTTCAATACCAAGCCTACGTACTTCTAGAATCCCCCCTAAACTGAGAAACTCTACAGTTTCTACGTTTACTACATGAAGTTTTTTAATGCCCAGTGATTTAGTACATTCAACAACACTTAACTATATCTCTTGATTTTGTCGATAGTTTACACTTTTAGATTACAAGTGATTTACCAAGTACAAATTCTGTACTGTGCTTTAAGCCACACCAATTTTGTTTAAGTGCTAGTAACGCTACTCGGCTTGGCAAATTGCAGTAATTGGGGTGGGTTTCGAACGGAAGATTTGTTAAAGCTTTATACTCTAGTCATTAAACCACCACTACACAATTGGAGCAGGAAATTCAAAACAATATAGGTCGTTTAGATAGATGTCGCTGTACAATCGACCTTACAAGTTTGCGTAATATCTCTTAACCTTCATTTTATTTATTTTGTTGCTCAACTTACTAATCATTGCTTAGTTCATATGCATATTTTCAAAATGTGTATTTCGTCCATTTGATAACACCATTGTTTATATTTCATCTAAGGAATACGATTTTGTATTTACGGTTGATATTGATGATACCATACCTGGGCTTAAACTACCTTACAATCGTACTGAAGATCCCTGGTTTGCAGCTCATTCTTTTATTCAAAGACATGATTTACCTGCTGGTTATCTGGATACAGTTGCTAATTTCATTATTCAAAATGCAGGACCTCCAATTAATCCAGTTGTCAGCAATGATCTTTCTCATAGTGATCCTTTTACTGGAGCACATCGATATATCCCAAATAGCTTTTCTTCCACGATAACCAAGTCCACTACAAATGGAACATCGGTTTTTACACCTCATTTTCCACCCGATACCTTTATATCTATGAAATCAATCAGTCTTGGTCCTTTAATGAGTAGGTTAATTTTTGATATTTCTATGTAATTAACCTTTAAAATATGTAATTCCACTCGTACATCATCTTATTGTTTGACCTATTCGTACTTGTTTACTGTTGGTTAGTTTAATATGTTACAAATAATGAAATGTAAACGTGCTATACTTTTTGATGAGATTCTAAGTTACTAACTTTCTCACTAACATACGCAATCAAAACCGAAGTTGTTAGTAATGCTATTATTATCATTACTGTTATTATTATTATTATTATTATTATTATTATTATTATTATTATTATTATTATTATTATTATTATTATTATTATTATTATTAACGTTTTATACTCACGGTTTTCCATCACAACTTGATAATTGATTTTGTCCGCTAACCATTTATGAGATAAATTATAGTAGATCGGTTAATAATCAATCAAGTTATTTTAATGGGGGTTAGTAATATGACCGTTTGTCAACTATTCATTAAATATAGTTAGTGATCACCAATTTAACTAATACTTCCATTAAAGAATTTTAAAAATAGTCATACTGATCAATTATAAAGGTAGCTTAGTGGTTAAAGCACTCAACTTTTCACTATCAGGTTGTAAGTTCAAACGCTGTTTCACCTAATTTGGTTCTGGTACTCGGTCAATATCATCCACCCATATTTCAGTTCAAAAGTGCAACATGCAATAATGTCTGGTCATTAAGTTCTTTTAAATTTAATTTGAGCTTAATCCCAGTTGTCTTAATTGATCAACTAATATTATCGCTTCGTAAAGACTTCTAATTAGTTTGTTTGGGGCAAAGGTTGAGTCAGTCGTCAGGATTACCTACAGGCTCGTTACGAAAAGAACTATTTTTCTGTGAACATTCTGTGTGCTTGGTAATCGTATATAATCGCCATTGAGTTTGTTAATAAATACTATTATACATGTGATATTTCCTTTTCGATAATATCCTACATATGAAGACCGCTACACCTATTTCGTATCACTTAAAATCTTAAATTGATGTATATTTAGCTTTAGAATTGTTACACGAAACCAGCCATTTCGGTCTTTTAATCACAAATGTGTGGGTAAATAGTGTTTTTAATAGGTGCATATGCCATCAGATTGCTCAAAATGTATTGCGCTAATGTGTCACATTCTGGTAGTTTACGTCTTCATATAAAATTATCCATATTTAAATTTCTAAAATCACTGGTAATTTAAATACTGCGACGAACTTGTGGTACTATCTTCATCTCAACTCTAGATAATGTTTAAGTCAGAAAATCTAGTGCGCTATTATGAATTAAACCTTTTTTTCTGTGACTGAAATATTAATGAATAGTCCACAACGTCATTTTACCATCCATATCTGAAAATTATGCTTCAGAAACCAAACTACTTAGAAATAGTATAGCTTCTGAATGGTTCATAAATGCATAATATTGCTTCAGTACTGGTCTAAATCAACAACTGAAATAATGGTAAAGAGTGAAGTACTAAAGCGTGTCGTCCACCTTTTTATGAGTTGTGTTTGGTGGAATCTCGGCGCAAATTCAGAAAGCTCGGCTATCTTTTACCAACTCGTGTCAATTGTGGCGCAGACGAGAGATGAAGCTGCCGACCAAAGGACGAGTATACTGCCCAACAGTTCACACCGTTCTACTTTGAGTTTGAAACATGAGCATCAAGGATAGAAATCTAAATATTGAACAATTAAGCTATGATTATTGTAATAATCTTTAGATAGTGCGTCAGTCTTCCACATTTTATTTAGTAATTTATAAAATCTAATTGAGTTGATGATGTTAATGTTTTCAACCTCTGCTTATGGGTCGATTAAGATTGAACCCTTTGTGTTTTTGGAAACTAGATCATTCAACCTAATTCATATCTTTACTGTTGGAAGATTTTCTAAATATCCAGTCGACTTCATATTTTCGCTTTGTTTAATCATCATCGTAATCTTTTTATTCGAGTAAATTGTAGCTTTAATGTACTTTAAGTTGAACATTTGATATCTGTCGAACTAATACATCCATAATTGGGAATTTAATAACTTACTATTAAATGACCAGTGGGGCAATCCATGTCAGGAAGAGACGTGTATCTACCTCAGACAATGGAAGATGATCGTGTGATTTCGTGGATTGGTTGAGGTTAGACATTAACACTGTTGAATGCTGGCCTGTTCAGTGGTCTCGAGTTTAAGCGTTCACACGAGAGACTGGTGGTCCTGGGTTTGAATCCTGTCTTCGGGATCATCGATGTGCACTGCTGAGGAGCCCCATAATAGTACAAAACGGCCGTCCAGGTTTTCAATAGTGGTCCAACATCAATCGATTCATGATCTCAATCAAAAAGTGAATAATTGCTGTACTGCATGTTAGGAAAATGAACTGAAACAGTTACTAACGAATTCTGCTTTTGATTATTTAGCTGCTGTTAAGTAGTGGTTAGTCGGCAGGAAACTAGATCTAGGTTTTGTGCGAACTAATTTTTGTCAGAAAAGTCTACCTACAAGCAATCAATTACTCATTTAATAGCTGAATGGTAATGCCTCTGATAATGAATTAGTGTAACTCAGGTCAATATCTCTCATGGAGCATTATCACCCTTAAGACTCCAGGCACACCTTGCTGATGAGTCCCGACTGGCTTAAAATCTAGTTGAAGGTTTCTTGTAGACTACTACCAACCAGCTGACAAAAAAGCATTGTCCACGCGATTGTGAGTCACCTAGACTAGCGGCCGTATTGTAACTGAATCGATAGAAAACGACAAGATCAACGTAATACTGGCAACTATTCAGTTATCAGTCAAGGACTGTTTCACTGTCAACAAGTTTGTACATATTTCCACTGCGATAATATATTACAGCAGCAGAATGCATGTTATATAATCCGTTGTCTGGTAAAACAATTCATATTACATTTCTATTGATTTTATTTAGAGCACAGTGAAATTTTCCTATGTAAGTACTTGGCAGAAGATGAGCTGAATTCAGTTAGCATTTTGATTCATCGCCCAACACAAACCTGTATAAATAACGAAAGTGATCGATTGTGTGATTGTAGAAGAAGAAGAAGGGAGGTAATTCAGCGAAGAAAATTTCATTTACTTAAGCTATACAATCGCATTTATTGTCAATTATGCTAAAATAGCGTTCTATAGGGAGGTGCTAATTAACGTTTTTTAAACTTGAGGAGGTACGATGTCAAGATGTGAAAATCAGATATTGAAAGGAAATTATGTGATGATCGACTAGGGAAAAAGTGATAAGGTGAAATAATTGTCCGCTTGATAGCTATTAAGAACAGAAAATTTGGAAGCTATAATACTTGCTATTTAATGGTTGTGAAAATAATTGGAATGCGGTAGGAACGATAAATAGAAACGATAGGTTACGGAAAATAACAAGGGAGGTTAGGATCATGGAAGAACGAGGGATTAAACATAGTTCTTGTACGTAAAGGTTAGGCGTAAAGTGGTAGATAGCAATAGCCTCAGTTGTACATAGGTTTTTCATTTGCATTCCTATTCAACCAAATCTATATATTTTACAAATCAATGATACTTCAATTAGATATTTTATTTTAGGTTGTAAGCAGCTGATGAGAATCTAACGAAATAAAATGAATTCATATTATTCTGCACTAATCCTCGTTCTTGCTCTCTTTAAGATAATAAAGGGAACTATGTGTATAAGATTAGATAACAGTATTATTTTTCTAAGTAATTATGAATCATTCAATAGAGAAATAGAAATGTTGTGGATGCTCACTGCTGAGGAGTCCCATACTAGGACGAAACGTCCGTCCAGTGCTTCCAGGTTTTCAATGGTGGTCTAGCTTCAATTGACTCATGATTTCAACCTGTGAAAGCAAATAAGATAATTATCCTTTCCCAACATTTTATTTACTAAATATATTGGGGTAGGTTGTGATTAATGTGACAGCTTACATAACAAGTATTAAAGCAACTGAAAAATCGTGCAAAGATGTCGAGTATTACCAGTAATAGAAAGATGAACAGTTATGTAGGAACTAAATGACAAATCATATTTGGAAAAAGTATCAGTAAGTCATTTGAATAAAATAAAGATAATTTAGGAAAGAAACATTTTTCGATGATAACGTTTATCAAAAACGTATATTCAGTTATTTCTATGCATAATAATCTGTGATAAAATAGTATGTTTTTGTGTTATGAATTAAAAATATTTTTAATTGTGAAAAAGAAGTTCTGCAATCAGTAATAAGAAGTAGCTAAGATGAAATAATAAATAATGAGATGTAAACGATAATTATCCGCTTGACGAATATAAAGAAGAAATGAAAGAGATATAAATGAGTCAAAAGCAACTTAGAAAATTAGGAAAGGAGTTAGGATCATGGTAATATAAGGAACTAAATTTAAGGCTTCTGAGTAAAGAAATCAGGTATGAATTACTTAATCCCATTCCCTTTGAAGTCAATTCGTCTAACTTCGTGGATAATCGTGTATATATATAGTCCAAGTTAGACGGAAAAGTGGTTAAGCTGAAAGTTTTATTAAAGACAATATAATATCGTATGTCTGTTAATTGAGCAGCTATAGAAAGACATACCTAGTTTTACACCTAATTTAAATAGTTCCATTCAAATAAACTTTATTAGAATATAAATATAACTACATTCATTGTTCTCAGACAATTTATGAACTAGGTAGTACGACTAATTTACGAGGGAACATTTATAAAAAATCAGAGAAGGGTTTTTGTGGATATTATAGTAATTTTAATAGTTAGATTCATGAGTCGATTGAAGCCGGATCACCATGGAGAACCTGAAAGCACTGGACGGCCGTTTCGTTTTATTTTGGGACTCAGTAGTGCTCATTTACGATCCCGCCTCGCTAAATTCGAAGCAAGGACCTATTAGTCTTTAAAAGGTATTTCCTGGAGTTATAGTGAAAAACATTGACTAGTGGAGTTCAGATGGGTCTATTGTGAGATAGTAACTCACTGAAGCAAATGATGGACGGTAGCGTAAATTCCTGGATTGGTTGAAGTTAAACATTATCACTATCGGATGCCGGTTCACTGGTCTAGAGGATAATCGTTCGTCTTGGGTTGGAATTTCGCGAAGTGGGATCGGAGATGCTCATTGCTGAGGAATCCCACAATGGAACGAAACAACCGTCCAGTGCTTTCAGGTTCTCCATGATAATCTAGCTTTAATTGATTCATGAATTCAACTATTAAAATTTATTTAAAAAAACTGAAAATTGAAAAACAGTAATTA